TGTGTTCCCACTGCATCCCTGCTGCATCCCTGCTGCGTCCCTGCTGCATCCCCACTGTATCCCCGCTGTGTTCCCACTGCATCCCCGCTGTGTCCCCACTGTGTCCCCACTGCATCCCTGCTGCATCCCCACTGCATCCCTGCTGCATCCCCGCTGTGTCCCCACTGTATCCCCGCTGCATCCCCACTGCATCCCCGCTGCATCCCCACTGCATCCCTGCTGCATCCCCGCTGTGTCCCCACTGCATCCCCGCTGCATCCCTGCTGCATCCCTGCTGCATCCCCACTGTGTCCCCACTGCATCCCCACTGTGTCCCCACTGCATCCCCGCTGTATCCCCGCTGCATCCCCACTGTGTCCCCGTTGGATCCCTGCTGCATCCCCGCTGCATTTTGAGCCTTACACCAGCACACGGGCCAGGCACAGAGCACAGCGCTGCAGTGCAGAGCGGCTGAGCCTGCAAGGGGCCGTGCACAGAGCACCCAGAGGGGCCGCAGCGCGAGACAGCCCAGGCCCCGGGGACGGCTGCAGTGGGGGGCTGTGGGCAGCACCGAGCAGGGGCCGGACGCTGCAGCTGCAGGCCGCAGGGGTGGGAGCCGGACAAACCCCCCTCGGACTCGGCAAACACGAGCCCGGGAACGGGGAGCAGCGGCCGCACACAGGCAGAGGCTCCCGGTGCCGCGGGCGCCGCGGACGTCCCGCATCCACGTTCTGCAGCTGCAACCTTGTTTGAGACAGAAACCAGCGGGTGTGGGGGGCCAAGGGCCCGCCTGGTTCCGCACACACCAGGGTGCTCCCCTGGCCCTTCACAGACCCCAGAGCAACGGGCCGAGCGGGACCCGCCGTGTCCCCGAGGAGCCAGGGCTTACCCGAGAAGCTGAGGTCGAGCAGCACGGCGCGCTTGCGGTCCTTCACGCTGCTGATCTGCTGGAAGTAGAGGTCCACGACGAAGAAGAAGATGCAGCCGAAGAAGGAGATGATGCCCACGGCGATGCCGTAGCTGCAGGCGCTCTCGTTCTCGTTGAAGACGCACAGGAGCTCGGGGTCCTGGCTGTCCCTGTTCACGTAGCACTCGTTCACGATGGAGCCGAACACCACGATGGAGAAGACCTGCGGGAAGGGACAAGGATAAAGCCCAGCTTTGCATTTCCCTCCGTTTTCCACAGCACCGAGGTGGGATTCCAGCCCCAGGAACCCCTTTGCCGCCCAGGGTCCTGCTCTGCAGCGGGTTCCAGGGACGTCGCTCTCCACACAGGCTGGGCAAGGAAGCCCTGGTCCTGGGTGCCAGCACGGCAGCAAGTGGCACCGCCGCCAACAATAGCGGTCACGAGTTTCCTAGTGCTTTGGCAACAGCAGCGGTTGTAAAACTCTGTTCATAAATAATGCAAAATTGCTATTTACCCTCAGAAATAGCAGCAGCATTTATAAAACAAGCCCAGGAAGAAATAACGCGATTCTGGAAAACATGAATAATTGAGAAAGCGCCGAGTCCCCAGGATTGCTTCCCTGGCAGCCCGGAGAATGCGCACTTAGCTGCCTGTTTTGCCTAATCCTCCTGGGAATAGTGGCCTGGGATATGTCTGGGTGCTCTTGCTGCCTGCTCGGAGCTCAGCGGAATGCTGGTGGGATGGGAATGCTCCGGGACACCATCAGGACAGGGATGCTCCGGGACACTGGCGGGATGGGAATGCTCTGGGATGCCAGCGGGACACCCGCAACCTCTTCTCTGGAGGCCAAAATAGAAACCAAACTCAAGTGCGCACACTTGAAAGCAGCACTCAAACCACGGAGCTGGCTGAAATGTTCCTGTCAAAACAGGCTTTTCAGTGAAAAGAGATCTGCCCATATTTTTTTCCCCTCGCAATTGAAATTCTGCTGATTTCCTGTTAAAAAAAAATGGTGTTGGTAAAACATTTTAATTGAAGTAGATTTGGGGTTGTTTCTCCAGTGTTAAAAAAAAAAAAAAGTTTCCAAGAAAAGGGGGTGAATGGGGGAAAACAAAACTCAGGCAGTTTTTCAAAGAAGAAAGCGAAATGCAGGTCACTTTTTCCAAACACCTCCACAGAGCTCTCGCGGGCGCCCAGGAGACCCGAGAGCTGCGGGGCCGCACGCCGGTCCCCGCTGCGCCCGGCAGCTCCGTCCTGCTCCATCCTCCAGCCAAACACCCTGCAGACGGAGGGAGGGATCCTGCTCGGCTCCCTGCGCTCCCGCGGGATCCTGCGCCGGCTCCGCTCCGTCCTCGCGGAGCCGCTGGAGCGGGGATGGGTTAAAGGCTCCGGCACCTGGGAGCCGGGAGCCACGAGGCCTGGGAAGCTCCAGCCTCCAGGCTGCAGCCTCCAACCCGACAGCCATTTTAAGGGGAGCTGTTTCTCCTGCGTTCCGACGTGGGATGTGGCCGCACGTGCGGGCGGCCACCGGGGCCACCACGGAGGATGTTTAACACTGCGGCCACCTTGCTGCATCCTTCCACTGCAACCGCTCACTGCATGCACCCCACTGCACCCTTCCTGCTGCAGCTGCCCCACTGCAACCGCCCCGCTTCACCCTTCCTGCTGCAACTGCCCCACTGCAACTGCCCCGCTGCACCCTTCCTGCTGCACCCTTCCTGCTGCACCCGCCCCGCTGCAACCGCCCTGCTGCACCCTTCCTGCTGCAGCTGCCCCACTGCAACCGCCCCGCTGCACCCTTCCTGCTGCAACTGCCCCACTGCAACCGCCCCGCTGCACCCTTCCTGCTGCAACTGCCCCA